AAGTTTGAAATGCCTGGACTAAGGCATTGTCCCTTGACAGGTATGAAGGACACTCTCCACAGATCAGATCCTTTCTTACAGACCGAAGGCTGACAGATGGAAGATAATGAGAGGAGGAGTATTTGGTAGGGGAGGGAGAACTTCCTTCTGTCTGGGTGTCAGTGAAGGGGCCCAGGCAGGCAGAGGCCCCAAACATCCTTAGTACCATTCTAGGGGAAGGGGGAGTCAAACCCTCATGAGTGCCACTCACACACCTGGGGCCTCCAGCCCGTGCATTTCCAAGGTTCAGGTGAAGCATCAGCTCCTCCACAGTTCGAGCCACACACATCCACCTGAGCCCAGCGTGAAGTCACCTGTTCTTCTAAGCTCTCCTGAGAATTCTGCCTGCACCTTTCATGGACTTGATTTATCTATTCAATTAGAATATTGATTGAGGAGTGAGTGCTTGGTGCATGATTAAGACACTGCTTGGGACAGCTGCATCCCTTATTGGAGTGGCTGGGTTCAAGTCCTGCCTCTGCTTCCAATTCTAGCTTCCTGCTAATACACATCCTGGAAGGCGGTAGGTGATGGCTAAAGTATCCACCACAGGCCAGACCCTGCTGTAGACACTGAGAGAGAGAGCAGTGAACTAAAGAGATAGACATTTTTGCTTTTCTGGAGTGTAGGTCCTTGTAGTAGAAGCAATAAAACTAGTAAAATGCATGTGATGTAGAAAAAATGCAAGGTGGAGGGGGAAAGACAGCAAGACATGTGTGTGAGGTGGGGGAAGCCATACTTTTAGAGTCATGGAGGGTCTCTCCACCAACGTGACATTTGTGTAAAGGACAGGAGGAAGCAGGGAGTGAGCAGAGGGCATCTCTAGGAAAGCACCTGAAAGCAGAGCCAACTGCAAGGTCAAAGGCTGGAAGCCAGGGCCTGCCAGTGGGATCAAGGAGTCATCAGGTGGCCACTGTGAGAAGGGTAAGGCAGGGAGAGACCAGTAGGGGGCAGGGTCAGGAAGCGATGGGAGGGCCCTGTCCCAGTGGCTCAGCTCTGGAGATCTTAAGAAGTTTGCCATTTACTCTGAGCAAGATGGAACTCTACCAAAGGATCCTAGTAGGCAAGTGTCACGGTCAGTCCCAGCTCCGACAACATCACTGGGTGTGTTGTTGAGAATCATTCACGGGTGGCAAGTCTGGCAGAAGGAGGCTGCTTTCAGAAAGCCATTGCAATAACCCAGGACAGAGACAATGGTGGTATGGATGAGCAGAGGAGGTGGTGAGACACGACCTGACTCTAGATGTGATCTACCAAGGTTATCTAGCTGGCCAACGGTAGAGAGGAGAGTTAGACTCCGGCTGTCTGTCCCCAGAGAATGTATCCTAACCACTCTGCCTTATGATCCATGAGGCCCTCCAGGAGACTGAAGAAGGTAGTCACTAACTTGAGGGGATCAAAATACGGCCCACCTCGGAAACATCCCACTCGCTGACATCCCAACCCTCATCTTCCTTGAGTTCAAATATAGAGCAATCCTTGTGTACACCTGTACCTTAGCAGAATTCAATGGGATGTACCCTCCACAGGTAGTACTCAAATCTTATGAGTATAAAGTAACTGAAAATAGATCTGTGTAAAAATTGAGAATGGGAATAGGAGAGGGAGGAGGTAGAAGGGTAAGGTCATGGGTGGGAGGGAGGGTAGGAGAGGAAGCATCACTATGTTCCTGAATCTGTTTATAGGAAATACATCTAAAATAAAATTTGTAAAAAATGAAGTTAGAAGACATTGATAAATTCTGTAAAAAAAAAAAAGCTACAATTTCAATTGAAATATGTTAACAATATGATCAAATAGCTAATTATTATTTTAATAAATATTTAGTAAAAATAAATGTAATTAAAACAATAATTAGAATTTAGGCATCCCATTGCATTTATGAATATTTAAAATGGGTTTACATTCAACTGGTAAACTATTTTTTTTTTCTTTTTTTTTTTTTTTAACTTTTATTTAATGAATATACGTTTCCAAAGTACGAATAATGGATTACTATGGCTTCCCCCCCATACCGTCCCTCCCACCCACAACCCTCCCCTTTCCCACTCCCTCTCCCCTTCCATTCACATCAAGATTCATTTTCGATTATCTTAATATACAGAAGATCAGCTTAGTATACATCAAGTAAGGATTTCAACAGTTTGCTCCCACACAGAAACATAAAGTGAAAAATAATAGACGATTTTTTTTAATGATGATGAAATCAGATCAGACCTATTGTCATGTTTAATCCCAGTGAGAGTCAAGTTGGGAGTTGATAGTTTCTATTCTTTTCTTTTCTTTTTTTTTTTTTTTTTTACAGAGGATCAGTTTAGTATGCATTAAGTAAAGATTTCAACAGTTTGCACCCCCATAGAAACACAAAGTGAAATATATTATTTGAGTACTCGTTATAGCATTAAATCTCAATGCACAGCACATTAAGGACAGAGATCCTACATGAGGAGTAAGTGCACAGTGACTCCTGTTGTTGACTTTACCAATTGACACTCCTGTCTATGGCATCAGTAATCTCCCTATGCTCCAGTCATGAGTTTCCAAGGCTATGGAAGCCCCTTGAGTTCTCCGACTCTTATCTTGTTTAGACAAGGTCATAGTCAAAGTGGAGGTTCTCTCCTCCCTTCAGAGAAAGGTACCTCCTTCTTTGAAGACCTGTTCTTTTCACTGAGATCTCACTCACAGAGATCTTTTGCCAGAGTGTCTTGGCTTTCCATACCTGAAATACTCTCATGGGCTTTTCAGCCAGATCTGAATGCCTTTAGGGCTGATTCTGAGGCCAGAGTGCTATTTAGGGCATCTGCCATTCTATGAGTCTGCTGAGTATCTCACTTCCCATGTTGGATCACTCTCCCCTTTATTTATTCTATCGGTTAGTGTTAGCAGGTACTAGACTTGTTTATGTGCTCCCTTTGACTCTTAGTCCTTTCTGTTCTACTTAATATGACTGGTTTAATTCTGTAATTAATACACAGTTATTCTTAAGTGTTGAAATTTAACTGAAATGTGATCCCTGTTAAACATAAGAGTAGGAATAAGAGAGGGAAGAGATATATAATTTGGGACATGCTCAAGCTGACTTGCCCCAAATGGTAGAGTTAGAAACATACCAGGGGACTCCAATTTAATCCCATCAAGGTGGCATGTACCAATGCCATCTCACTAGTCCAAGTGATCAATTTCAGTTCGCAATTGATCATAATGAAAGGACTAAGAGTCAAAGGGAGCACATAAGCAAGTCTAGTACCTGCTAACAACTGGTAAACTATTAAACATATTCAAATATTATTTCTCTCCAATCATGGTGTAAGCAAGTTATGTTAAGCAAATAATTATCTGAATGCAAAGAGCAGTCATCATTTATGTTCACTAAACAGAGTTTCTTTATTCTAAAAAAAAAGAAAATTTCAAAGGTTGGAAGACTTGGGTTCCAGACAGCCAAAGTCTCACCATTTACTTATGTGAGTCATTTAGCCCCTAAGAATCTCTTGCTAAAAATAAATAAGTAAATGTTTTAAAAACTATATTAGAATAGAAGTGATTTGGGAGGATCAAAATTGACCATTTTCAGTACTTCAAGCTCTTCTTAGTTCTAGATTAGGTGGGATCCTTGAAGACTGATGACTTCCAGGAAGGACTGTGTATATGCAAATCATGGAGGTAGGAAATCAATGGTACCTGCATTTTATGTGTGCCGTTCTGTTAAAAACCAATCAGCCATTTTTGCTTAGAGTTAAGAAAACCAGTCAGACTCTGCATTTCCAAGGGGCCCATTTTTTCTAGCCAAATAACATGGGTTAAAAGCTGAATTTTGAGCATAAAAAAAAAAAACTCTGAAAGTGGTTCAGCAAAGTCAAATCCAGTTTTTCTTTCTCACATAGCCCCCTGCTCCTCTCCACTTCTTGGATAATTACCACCTTGCAAAATGACCGCTGGTAATAGCTACCTTTCAGTGGATTTCAGGCCTGGCATTCAGCTGATCACTTCAAGTGTCTTACTGCATTTAATCCTCCCGACTCCCTTCTCATGTCCATAGCATTAGCTCATTTTACAGAGGAGAAAGCTGAGACTTGCAGAAGTGATGTAATTTTGGCCAAACTAAGTAGCCAGAAGTCTGAGGAATCAGGATTCCAACCTACTATCTTGGATTCCATAGGCACCTGCTCTCAGTCACTGGTACATGTCAATCTTCCTGGGAACCATATAAAATGAGGACGAGGGTGGTGCAAGGAGCTATTAGGACTACTTGAAGCCATGAATGATTGCATCTCGAGTTTGACAAGAATAGCTTACCCTGAATGTAATATACCCCTGAAGCCAAAACCATGGTAGTATTTATCTGCGAGATCTGAGTTGGCAGAACACCAGGAGTCCATGGAGCAAGGCAAACTCAGAGCCGTGATTTGGATACAACTTAACCAACAGCATTATTTTTGCATCTGAGCACAAAGAGTACAGAATAGGTAAATTCTAATTTCCTAAGTCAGAACATTTTCCTTCTCAAACAACCCATTCCTTTTTGGCCCAAATGACTGAGTAAAACTTTCACGAAAAGCCAAAGCTTCAGTATTATCAATGACTTAAGGCTCTGACCCACATCCCTATGCATTGCTGCATTATTTGTGGGATTCCCCGAGGGGCCAGAACAGTTGGCTTCCTCAACTAGTGTCCCTGGGGAATTTCTACGGTGTGCTGTAGCATGTCATGCTTTTGTTGTCTAATTTGATGGAAACTGTCCTTTTATACACCCAGGAAGAGGAAATCAGGGGAAAGGTGTGAAACAACCATTTCATAAGAGCTACTTCCCACCCAGTGAGTTAAAGGAGCGAGGACCTAGAGATTTTTATGAAAAGGAGCATTAAGGAAAATCCTGGATGTGCCTAAGTCCCAGCAACCAAAGACTTAGAACATGCGGGCCAAGTCCGTTGACATCACAGATGCTTCCTGCAGTCACAATGCCACCGAGTCACTTTTAGGGAGTTGCCCAGAGACGTGAAGACTTTTGCTAGAACACAACCAAGATTCTGTAGTACTTTGACTTTCTGAGAAAGGGGAGGGGAACAAAATAGAAATATCAAACCAACAAAAAATAGAGCTGAGAAATCAAGGTCATGAGCTCAGGTATTCATTCCCTGAACAGCTCAAGGTCTCACTTCATGATCATAACTCTATCTCTTTTTAAAATTTATTTTATTTGTTTGAAAGGAAGAATGACATAAAGAGGGAGAGAGAAAGAGAGGGGGAAAGAGTGAGAGAGAGAGAGAGAGAGAGTGAGTGAGTGAGAAAGAGAAATCTTCCATCTGCTAGTTTATTCCCCAAATGGCACCAATGGCTGGGCCAATAGCAAGGGCCAGGAACTCCCTCTTGGTCTCCCACATGGGTAAGGGGGCCCAAGTACTTGGGCCATCATCTGTTGCCTACCCAGGTGCATTAGCAGGGAACTTGATTGGAGGTGGAGCAGCCAGCTCTTGAACTGGATCTCCCATATGGGAATGCAGTGTTCCAAGTGGTGGTTTAACCTGTTGCATCACAAGGCCAGCTTCACCCTGTATTTCTTAGTGCAAATAAACATAATGAAGATGCTCAGGTGGCATGGGGCAGTAGCCTGAGGATCATTCCCTATAATTTTAGAGTTATTAGACCTCAACAAAGCTCCTGTCATTTTTTAAAAAAATATTTATTTATTTATTTGAAAGGCAGAGTTGGAGTGGTGGGGAGATATAGAGAGATCTTTTATCTGCTGGTTCACTCCCCAAATGGCCACACCAGCCAGGGTTGGGCCAGGCTGAAGGCAAGAGTTTCCTGGGTCTCCCATGTAGAACCATCTTTTATTTATTTCTCAGGTTGATTAGCAGTGAGCAGGACCAGAAGTAGAGTACCCAGGACACCAAAAGGTGCCCATAAAGGCACCTCACAGCTGGCAGCTTAACCCACTATGCCATAATTCTGCTCCCAAAAGTTCCCATGTTGTATTAGTCCCTGCTAGAATATGGTCTTCTATCTGATTGTACAAGTATTGGGTCCCTGGGGGAGAGATTTGGAGTAGGAGAGAGAAAAGGGCAAAAGTAAAACAAATTAGAAACTTCCCTTTAGGTTCTGTCGATTAAACTGCTGTCAACTTAAAAAAAAAAAAAATTGCCACGGCAAAAATTCATTGGCCAGAGTTCCTAATCTGACTCAGCATTCTGGTTGCCTAGATACAGATGCAAACAAAAGCGTCTTCCAGACTGCCCAGGAACAGCCGCAGCCTGATGAACCCGATGGCCCCGCTCCTGGCTCAGCTGCCGACCAAGAAAAGAAAGCAAGTATACTAGATATTCATATCAAATACAGAATTTTTGCTCAGCTTCCTTAACACTTAGGGTTGCTTAGGCAGTTTCAAGAAGTCTTGGCAGAATGGTCTTTGCTTTGACTCTTAACACATCCCGTCTGCTCTGCCAGGACCAAGTAGCTGGTAACAGCACAAATTGACTTTTTTTTTTTTTAAAGATTTATTTATTTGAAATACAGAGTTACCAAGAGGTAGAGACAGAGAGAAAGGTCTTCCATCCGCTGGTTGTAACATGAGAAAGAATAGCTAATACTGCATCAGCACTTGTCATACCTTTCTCATGAACTTTAAAAAGAGCATTCAAAGCAAGCAGTGTTTTCAGATGTTGTTTTGTAATTCTCAAAACACCCAATGTGTGGACGCAGCCTCTTGTCATGAAAAGAGCACTAGAAAGCCAGCCTTGTTTCTGAGTTATCTACTGAGTGTCCCACACACTAGTCCTGGGGCTTTGGACAATTGCTTAGCCTCTCTGGTACCTCTTCCATAAAACTGGTTAATTAGAACTATCATACAAAGTTGCTGAGAGATTTGAATGAGTCGCTTAGGTAAAGTGCTTAGCGGGTAGGAAGAGCTCAATCCACAGATTCCTGTTTTATCATCTACATGATCTATAGCAAGCCCATTACCTTCTCTGATCCTCAAGTTCTTCCCCTACAAAAATAACCATCTTAAATTGTTTCTGGGATAAGGGAGAATTTCAGTTACTTAAAGTTTATAATGTCATCCATAATGTGAAAATAAAGGGGTAGTAAAAAGCTCCTGGAAAATGGAATTAAAAGTTTATTTTGGTACAAAAAAATTCATACATATGAGCCGTCTTCCAAAAGCTCATGGAATAATGCATATTATGAAATATGAATAATTCATATTATGAAAGGAACTATACGTGGATTTCAAAATTTCTGCACCCAAATAGACTTATCTTTTAATTTCATTTTTCCACAAAATTTTGAAGTACTCTCATAATGATGCCCACCTTAGTGCCATTAAAAGAATGAAATCATGTAATACATAAAATGTGTTGCAGTCCATAAAGCTATAAGGGTTTACAACATGTGAAAGTATTATGAAACATGTAAAAACTGACACATGTAAAAAACTCCTCCCAATAACCATCAAGTTATTTGACTATGAAACAAGTTGTACATATAATTACATCTTAGCCTGTACATATGAGATATAACAGAACTGACTTCTATGTTAACTTGTAAAAATATAAAAATTTAAATATTCTCTTCTATACATAAAAATGCATTAAAAAGGAAATTACACTATAATGTTAACAGCTCGAGGTAGTAGAATTTCAAGTGAGAGTTTTGCTCTTGTATGTTATTTTTTGTATTTTTACAAATTTTTCTAGATTTTCATCCTTATGCTTAACCTGTCACTTAAAAAGTGTGTGTGCTGGGTAGGTTTTTAAAGGGATGGCATTTGTAGTCTTTCAAATAAGACAAATAAGACTTAATCTACGAATACCTTCAGAGGGACGGTGGGTGCCAACCACATAAGGTAAAGAGCCAGCCGTTCTTTGAGAAATGCCTAAGACAGACTCCCACGGGCCAGGGAGCAGTGAAGAGCTGGGAATGAAAGCGCTGGCTGGAAGCAGGGGGACACTCAGGGCCCAGCACTGGTCCAGCAGGGAGCAGGAGTGAAGACAGGCCCCAGAGCAGAAGTCCGGTCAAGTCCTCTGGGGACCTGCGGTGGCCATCACCACATGGGCACCTGAGTGCCCAGCAGATCAGTAAGGGCCATTCTCTAGGGGAAGGCGGGGCTCAGGGGCATCAGAATGGGGAGAGGGCTGAGGCAGTACCTGGAGACTCCAGGGCTCCATCCTGCGCAGCCTTAATCCTGCCAGGTGAGGTCAGAGCACCTGAGTCTAGAACTTTATTTGCTCCCTTGATAACAGGCTCATCAAGTTGGATGTTTTTTTATTTAAGAGGGAAGTTTCCAACTAAGTTCCTTGGCCATAAATTAATTAATTAATTAATTAATTTTATTTTTTGACAGGCAGAGTGGACAGTGAGAGAGAGAGAGAGAGAGAGAGAGAAAGGTCTTCCTTTGCTGTTGGTTCACCTTCCAATGGCTGCCGTGGCTGGTGCGCTGCCGCCGGCGCACCGCCCTGATCCGATGGCAGGAGCCTTGGCCATAAATTAAAAAGTATTTGTTCATCAGACATTTGCAAAAGGAATGATATCTGTGTATCTCTTCATATATTCTGCCCATATTATAATGAATAATATAAACCAAGAAAAAAATGCTAGGAATTTATTTGGTTTAATTTTCTGAACTGAGGGGACATATCACTTATAGTCTTCCTGTTGAATTCAGTTCAGGGATAGGCTATTAAAATTAACCAAAATTAACATAAATGGGTGTCCTACTTTTTAAATTTAAAAACTGAAAGAATATTAGAGTTTAAAACATTTTCAGCAGAGGGAAAATGTCAAATACATTCGATACCCTCTCCTTATAGAAATGTTGCCCAATTATTAATTTGCATTTAGATAGAACTTTCTAGTAGTATCATTTTATTGAATTAAATATTGTCAGTTAAGTGTTTAGGTGGCCACCTATGCTTAATACTAGTAATTCGTGTATAAAGCTATACTTTGTGCTTTTATTTCTCATTGATTTCAATAACCTGACATCCAGATTTCTTAGAAAATAAAATTACTTAGACTAGTTTCCTAGTTTTGGGCTTCATTTTTGAAAATTATCTAACTCCCCTGAGAAATCAGCATGTCAAGAGTAACTCATTCTCTGAGGACTTCTTTAATACCTCCATCAATAATCATCGACTATTTTATTTATTCATTTTCTAGGAATAATAATGACTTTGAGTTTTCCGAAAAGTTTTTCCTGACTGTGCTACCAAGTCTATAAAATGCAGCTTTGCAGTAGTTCACCAGAATTTAATTTTAGTTTTATTCTTTAGCAATACAAATGAGGTCTGTGCAAGATTAACAGGGCTGATGTTCCATGATCTATGGCATCTATTTTGTTCAAAATCGAAACATAAAAAGGATAAAATGGGTAAGAGTAGCCTGTCTAGTAGGAGATGATATATTTTAAATCCATGACCTTTGTTTTAGGTAAGATTATCTCCAACCAAAATGTCAACCAAGAGCTCTACAGATCTAGTTGAATATGTTGACAAGTAAGTCTGTAAATTACAACTTGTTCTAGCAGTTCACTGTGCCTAATTATTCAGAGATTGAAGTGCCTGCAGGAGACTTTGGAGGTTCTCTAAACTAGGTCTCTGTTTTCAGAAGAGACAGCCATGTCAGAAGGATGGCCTCTCTAACCTCTTCCATTCTGACACAGCAAGATTTTACTGCCTTTGCCTTTAATAAGCTGCTGTACTCTGGGTCTTCGCTGGGGTGTTATGGGTTTGATCTTAATGGTTAATGGATTAAGTGTGGAGATTTAATACAACTGTGATGTCTGAAGATGGGGCCTTTGACAATTGAATAGATTGGACTTAAGTTGCTGGGGTGGAGCCCACATGATCAAACCCCAGGAGCTTCATGAAGTGAGGCCCTGGGAAGGGAGCACAGGCATCCTCCTTGACTCTTCTTTTGCATCCCATCGTCCACTGCCCTCATCACACACCTGCAGCAATGGGGCCACCTGATCTTTGACTGCGAACCTCCAAAATCACAAGCTGAAATAAATCCTCTTCCTTCATGAGTAGCTGCTCTCAAGAATTTGTTACAGTGATGAAAAGTGACTAAGGCATAACCTCTGTAGGTGGTTTCTATAGATTTATAAGCAAAATAATACAACATAGGCAATGAATAACTTACAATAAACATCAAATATAACTGATTTTTCAAAGAAGCCAATGAAATCTGAATATTTTATAATTTTAAAAATCAGAATTTGAAACATATATTAAGAATCAGATAATTTTGTTTCTGCTGCCACACCTGGAGCTCATGCAGGTAGGGTCTACAAAAAAGGTCAACTCTGGACACTGAATCATTTGCGTATGTACACTGTGCAGAAGACTCTAGAAGTCTAGTTTGCCATTGTGCTTCTAGGATGATTGATTTTAGCCCACAATGCCTCTGGGCTTTAGGTTTTTTGTTTACAAAATGAAGAGGTTAGACCAGGAGCTCTGTAGGATCTACAGCAGCTTTTAAATAATCCAGGCTCTAAGATGCACATCATGACCAGAGAAAACAAGATGACCAAATAAATGAGTTAATATGCAGAAAATAAATACTAGACTGATTTTAATGCTTATCTTTAACAATTAAGATAACATTTTAAATTCTTATTTTTTATTATAATATTGGCACAATTAAGAATCCCCCTGTTCCTTAGGCAGTGAAACTTATTACAATCCAAATAGTTCAACCCCAGTATTTTGGCCCCTCTTTTCATGTTCCATATAACTTATAATTGCTTATGTGACTAAGTCTATAGTTTAGGTGAAAAAAGGAACCAAGTATCATTAGAACCAATCCACAAAAAGGATTTTTACTATTTAGAAAATAATACAATTGAACACATGAAATTTTTTCTCAAGGACAATGAATACAACCCAATGCACAAAAATAATTATAAATGGCCACATTAGCCATAAAGGAGGAAAAAACCTGCTCCTACATGATTTTATATGACAAACAGAAAAATAAATTAATCTTCTGATCTGTCAATTTCCAATATGAACCCACGCTGGCTCTGTTTAGCTGAGGCTATGATCTGCAGTCTGGAAGACCAGAACAAATTCTGGGAACATAGGAACAAATTTAAGAAATCCAAGTTTTTTTAGATTTCTTGGATTCTAGAGAAACTAAAAAAGACCAAGGGTAGAAAGAGTCCAGGATTTAAGACAAATACATGATGAAGGTTATCTGGCCCCAGCATTCATTTCTACCTTGATCTCTTCCATAACTCTTCTTTTGCTGTCTAAATCATGCATCTGGAATTGTCTATTCAGATAATTCTCTTTCAGTGTCTTCTCTCTTATCTCCCACAACTGGCTGTAAGCTCCCCAGAAGCGGAGATTGTATGGCTGTGTGCTTTTTGAAGTCCCCACAGTGGCCTGTCATGGTCATTGCCTTAATGCATGGTGTATGGCTGCTTGATGAACTGAGGTTGACAGATTTAATGGTTATCAAACAACTGAATCATCAGAGCTCTTCTTAAAGCAGTAGACTTATGGGTAGCTGACTAATTGGAAAAGCAAAACGGCATTTGGGCATTAGAGTCATCAATGCAACTGACATATTTAACCCCCCCAAAATAAAGAATAATAGTTTTTAAAGTAACTATTGTTTAAATAGTTTAGTTTGTTCCTTGGGAAGCAACAGACTTATTGATATGCAAGCAGAGTACTTAGACAAGTAAAAGCCATTACCAACTCATTAAACTACCTGAATATATATCATACATTCTTAGAGGTTCAGCCTTGAAACATATGTGGGTACTTCCAAAGGTTCATGGACAACGCTTATGATGAATAAATTACCCATGGGTTTCAAAAATTTTGTACCAAAATAAACTTAACTTTTAATTCCATTTTAATGGCCTTTTTGAAATACCCTTGAGTATATGTGTGTGATAATATATATATATAATATCACACATATACATATATAATATATATTATATAATTATATATAACATATAATATATAACATATATAATATATAATACACACATATACATATATAATATCACACACATATATATATATATATCCATATTTACAGGTAATACTAACAACAAAGGATAAAATTCCAGCAATAAAAGAGGTAATACCAGTCCTGTGGAAAAGCTGGGCTAGAAATATCCATGTTAAAAAGGCAGGCACACAGCATGCGTTTACAGGGCACTTTCTGGAGTCACATACATGCATATCAGTGTCCGTTACATGTTAAATCATGTTTGTAATGAACAGGGCAAGGATGGCCAAATGCTTGCATCCATTGATAGGGCAGTTACGGTGACATTATACTAAAGGCAATCAATTCTGATTTCTGCATTTGTTCATTGATGCACAATGAGCAGATGAATTGACGTCTGCTGATTTTACATCAGCAGAGCCCATGCTCCTTTTAACTTAATTGAATAGAAAATCAAAGGCTTTTTCACTTGTTCCTTTTCTTCCCCTGATGGAAGGCACTAATGGAGGCTAGGACGCCTTCCATCTACTCTTCAGTCTGATGCTACTGCACTGTGGCACTGACCTTGAGAAAAAGAAAATTTCTTCTCTTTCCTGGTCAATCTCTCTGGATCCTCTATAAAATGGGGTGGGGGTTTCAAGTGATCAGGGATGAGAAGTCTGAGTCCCAAGGGTTGTCTGTTGAAGGTAAGACCTGGATTTCATTTCCAGGATGCAAATTAGAATGTTGCTGTATTAATTTTTGTTACTTCTTGGGAAGGAAAAGGTATAGCCTGGCTTATAGTCTAGAGGTTCAGGGTTCAAGGTGGGGCAGCCCCATTTATTTGGAGTTTGGTGGAGGCTGCGCATGGCCAAACACTTGAAAAGGAATGGTCAGGAAGCAAAGAAACCAGGGCGCACTCAGCTTAAATAACCAACGCTCTCTGAGAACTGCCTTTCAAGGGCAAACCCCAATGACCTGGAGACCTCCCACTGGCCTCACCTCCTAGCCTGTATAATTAGATCAAGTATCCACCTTAATTCATTGACCATTAGCATTAATCCATTAACTGCTCACCTAACTTTGGAGTTTGAATATCTGCACATTTGGGAAACCAAGTCCTGTCCATGCCCTTACAGTTGCCTCCACTTGCCACTACTCTCAGCTCTGCCCACGGTCTCTCATCAACATTCTCCTGTATAATAAAGCAGGGGGTGAAGATTTAAGAACATGCATCATTTCACTCCGTGGGACTTTATTTTGATTGAAAAATTAATTCTGCCCACATGTCTATTTTTCTTTTTCTTTAATTAACTCTCCTGAGTTGGGGGAGGGGTGTAACATCTTAGCACACAATCAAATATTGCTGAGGTTTCTTCGCCCCTAACATTCTTTGGTTTTCAAAAGCTGGCAATTGCCAATATTTATAACAAATATTTGCTAAGCATCTGCCATGTGCCGGCCCCCATGCTAGGCACATGGGAGAGTCTTCAGTGAATGACACAAAGATCCCTGCCCTCATGACGCTTCCACTCTAACAGGAAGGAGCGATGCATTGTTAGACGCTTGGCATCCAAACAAAGGTCAGCAAATGAGGGCTTTGGCTCTGGGGACATGGCGGGGAGGAGAGCCCAGCTTCTGAGGCAGGAACACTCCTGTGGTGTGGCTGGAACAGAAAGGGCGCAAGGATGGCTGGAGGAAACAGGAGGAAGGACAAACTCGAATGATGACAGTATCTCAGCTGTGATTTGGAACTCTCTGGATAGAGTGAACTCTGACAGTCTCCTGCCCGTGTGGGAAATTCTACATTTCTTGAACAAAAAGGAAACCAGGGAAAGGATGTTGTTTCGTGTTAAAGAGCTATTCAAGCACATAGCTATCTCCAGACTTCTCTCAGGTATATATTCTGGAAAGATGAGGGTCTGGCTAAGAGCCCAACAATAGTATTTGCAATTTGGGTATGGAAAACGTTCAACAAGCCAAACAGACAAAATAATAAATGACCTGTGATTTCGCCCTGTGAGAAGATGGCCTTCAGGTGCGACAAGTACTTGTCCCAAGGCTTTTCTGAGCCCCGTGGCAGACTTGGTGTTGCTGTGATGCCTCACTTCGGTGGCTAGCTGATGAAGACAGATGCTTCACGTGGCAACACACGGGAGAGGCAGACAGCGTTCATGGACAGGACAGTTCATGGACGGCATTGCCATCAGCACAGTGTATTCTTTTTTTTAAATTTTTAAATTTTTTATTTTTTTTTTGACAGGCAGAGTGGACAGTGAGAGAGAGAGACAGAGAGAAAGGTCTTCCTTTGCCATTGGTTCACCCTCCAATGGCCACCGTGGCCGGCGCACTGCGGCTGGCGCATCGCGCTGATCCGATGGCAGGAGCCAGGTGCTTCTCCTGGTCTCCCATGGGGTGCAGGACCCAAGGACTTGGGCCATCCTCCACTGCACTCCCTGGCCACAGCAGAGAGCTGGCCTGGAAGAGGGGCAACCGGGACAGAATCTGGCGCCCTGACCAGGACTAGAACCCGGTGTGCCGG